TTGTTTTTAGTTTTAGCTATTTTAGGGGGATATCTGTGTGTGCAGGTGACTATTACTGTGCATAATTATTAGGCAACTTAACAAAAAACAAATATATACCCATTTCAATTATTTATTTTTACCAGTGAAACCAATATAACATCTCCACATTCACAAATATACATTTCTGACATTCAAAAACAAAACAAAAACAAATCAGCGACCAATATAGCCACCTTTCTTTGCAAGGACACTCAAAAGCCTGCCATCCATGGATTCTGTCAGTGTTTTGATCTGTTCACCATCAACATTGCGTGCAGCAGCAACCACAGCCTCCCAGACACTGTTCAGAGAGGTGTACTGTTTTCCCTCCTTGTAAATCTCACATTTGATGATGGACCACAGGTTCTCAATGGGGTTCAGATCAGGTGAACAAGGAGGCCATGTCATTAGTTTTTCTTCTTTTATACCCTTTCTTGCCAAGGGCGGTACGAAGAACAGGCCCCTAGTGTTTCTTTTTAGGTTTGTTATTTTTCAAATTCTATATTTATTAAGTTTTGCAGGCTTGTTTGCACAACAAGGCTAAATAATTATATAAACTTTTCTTTAAATAGTGGACTTTGGTAGAATTAAAAAATTATTGTAGTGCAGGTCTATGATGATTTTTAGTGCTACTATCATCTAGTTTTGATTCCGATTCTGTCAAGTCCTAAGTAGTCCTGATTTTAAACTGTTGTAGTCCTGTTTTAATTCCGGATCAGTTCTGGGTCTGGTTGAATTTGGGTTTAGTCCGTGTGTCTTGATACAGCCCGACTTTGTTCTGCCTCGCTGCTTAATTAAAAAACTAATTTAAGGTGTCCTGCATAAGTGTTATATATTTTTCCCTATATGAAGTCATTCTTTTTTTAACAAAACTCAAAACAGAGGCTATTAATCTTTCAGCCACAATCCTACATGCATACTATCCTTTAGGGCCAAGCCCCGGGTGTATCAAATGTCTGCCTCCGCCTCTGCTGCATCAGTTTACAGATGCAGGTGTATTTAAAGGTGTTTGCATTATTTTGGCCACTCATTAAAATACACCAGGACGTTAAAGTTTATTTTTAGATACCTGCCGAGCACAGCTGTCCCTAATAAACTAACTAAAGTGACAGTTTAACTGAAGTGTTTTCAGGTTTTTTATTTAATGTTCATGTTTATAGTAATGATGTGTTCTGCACTTCTACAGGTGACCTCACCTTCAGCTTTGACCAGCTCAAAGACAAACAAAGAGGACTGACTGGTTGTTTTTTGTTTTGTTTAAATTGTGGGTGTGAAGAGGTTTCTCCAGGGGGCGCTGTCTTCCTAAACATAAAGCCTGTGTGCAGACACTCTATCCCCTTCAGAGGAGCAGCGCTATGTTAGTCAGCTGAAACAAAATGTTGTGACTCCTTGTGAGGGACCAAGCAGCCAAAGCAAAGAGGACACAGGCAAAAAAATATCTTCAAAAAGGGTTTTCTTTATTTTAACCCTCAAAAAGTCCAAAATTAACAAAATTCAAAACCATACTTAGCAGGCCCATAAAACAGGTCAACTAAATGTAACTCAACAAAAAGTAATTTCCAAAACTTAAACAACAAAGTGAGACACAACTTAACTCACAAACTGACCTAATTACAAAGACACATGAGGGTAGCTTTTATAATGATTTGGCCAAACCATTTGAACACAATTAGGGGGAAAACAAAAACACACACTAATATTAACTAAGCACAGAATAACCTAACTAAACCTAAAACACCCCTGCTCCTGGTAAGCCCATGGTTGGTCCTGCTGAGCAGGCATTTTGTCCCCAGAGTCCTCAGCCACGCCTTTTGCCCAGACAGGAAACAGCCACCGCCCAAACCCAGGTAACTCAAAGAAAGAGAAACATAATTAATATAACAAAACATTTTAGAAAAACCACACAATGTTACTATGTGCGCGCCTCATAATACCAGTGTTAGGTTTAACCAAATGATTAATGAAGAAAACTGCAAAGCAAACTAATAAAGTGAAAAATAGACTAATTTACCCCTGTGTGGCTGATGCCATCACACTCCTTCAGTCTCAGGTGACTGCAGGTTCCAACCTTATGAACAGCACATTTGCACGATGACTGACACCAGTGCACTGAAGGAACAGGGAGCTGTGAGCTCACTTTATGATCATTAATATGCAAATTGTCTTGGCTATTGATCAGCAACCACTGATCATTGATTGATGGTCATGAGTCCCATTCACAGAGAGTTGGGGGAATGGCTGCAATCACAGCATTGTAAGATGGTGACAGATGTACCCTTAGACCCCCTCCTCGAATCAGAGATGGTCTTTCCCTTTTCACGTAAATGTGAAAAGGGAAAGACTCCGCGCTTAAACCAGCATTCCTAACTGTCCAAGATGTGTACATCCTCATGAGACTAAATAAGTGTGCGTGTGTGTACAGGAAACGCTGAAGAAGAGAATCTTGTCCTGATTCTTCCTCACTCCTCCCTGTTGTCTCCAGAGTTTCTCTCTTTGATGCTTCTTTCTTTAATCGCTCTTCTTCTTTATTTTTCTCTTGACTCTTCTTTTTTCTTTTCTTTCTTCACTGGTTTTTCTGCCTTTGTTCTTGTCTTCTTCTTCTTCACTGATGTCTCTGAGGTTTTTCTCCAGTGAGTTGTATTCATCTGTTTGGTATTTACCTAGAAAGAGAGAGAGCTCAAATGTCAGGCATACACATATTTTACGTATGTAAATATTTCGTTTTGTTGGGTTAGTTCTTAGTTGCACTGCAGTATGTCCTCCGGGCTTGTCACTACTTGTCGTTGGTGCAGCAGCAGCACCAACAGCCAACATGTTGTTAATTTGACACATTTCCTGATTTGCTTTTAGTTTCTTTTTTCTTTTGGTGTCTCAGCTTTTCAGCTGCACCGTTTTGCCACTCTTCCACTCCAAACTTTGTTCTGCACAGTGAAGGTCAGAGAGGGCCCAGTTACATTAAGAAATTTAATTTGGCAATCAACATGTTCTCATCCCAACGCGTCACATACCGACGCCATGTGACAATCCATCGGTATGTTATGCGTTCGGAGGAACGAGAGCCGTTTGGAATGAATCTATACATGTAAATGTGTTTTAGGTTCTGATCGTGAATCACTTTGGAAAACACTCTCTGACAGGGTTAGGGCTGGAATGGAGGACTGGAGCGTGTTCTGTTGGAATCAATTGACAATCTAGAGTGTCTCATAAGGACGGGTACCTTTCACCTTACTATGAGACGCCTCGGGACGTGACAAATTGTCGCTATGTTACGCGTTGGGAATGAGAATGCTCGGTTGGCAATATGCTGTCATGAAAATGAACCAACTGGCTGTTCTCGGTGCGTGTGGGGCCGGTGCACAGCAGCCCTTTAATTGACCCATCAGCCCGAAAGTATGTCGGTCCGTTGGTCAAAATGACTGGTGTGCCAGATTACCATCCCAGCCCTGTGTGTTACTCACATGTGATATCCTGAAAAAATCTCTTCTCTTTACTGATGCAGACCTGTTTCCCACCAGCAAGGATGAAGGAGCCAGCTCCACACAATACTTGGCAAGCTTTCTGAAGGAAATGAGAATGGCTCCATCCATCCAGCTGAGAGGACACTTCCTGTCTCAGGTCATTACCAGCAGTGACTCCATAGATTGATTTTAAGTAGAAATGTTACTTCCTGGTGCCGAAGGTCAAATGAAGGAAAGTGTTCACTTCCTGTTTCAGATGACACTGCATAGATCAGGTTGGAGCAGAGAAACGCTTCCTGGCGTCAGAGGTCATTTCCTATACGTCCATACATCAGGAGAAGAGGACACTTTCTGAATTCAGGTTTTCACTTAGACTGGCATATATGTTGAGCTCGTCTACCCATAGCTAACACTACAAGTCACATTTCATTCCATCTTTTCAGATTTCGAACATGAGAATGTGGACTAACGGAGGTGAGGATTGGACCACCAACTTTCTGATCAGCAGATAACCTGTCTGCCTCCCGAGTCCTGGCAGTGGAGGGTTAATAGGAAGAACCAACAAGTCCTGACATGTCTTCCTTTAAAGAGATATGATCAGATTTTGAAAAACTGATCCTCAAATATGAAACGAGCTCACGTGTGTGAGCGCATTATTTTACTTTGCAAAGGTCAAATATGAAGTAAAGTCTCAGGAGTGTCATTTCATCTGCTGATCATGTGTAAGAAAAGCTGCTGCAGACATCAGATGGTCATCCAGTGGAAACCTGTCACTCCCAGGCAGGTTTGGCTTCACATAACTCTAATCTATGCTTTAATCCCTGTCTGCACTGAAGACGGTGGGCTGTCGTTAATGACGGTGAGAGCTTTCTTTTCCTAAATGCTGAATTCAGAATTAACACGAAGTCAAGTTTTAATGTGATTACTCTCAACCTAAAAACCCCAAGTTAAATCCAAAGAAAATTTGTGCTTAGTGACACAGAGAGAGGCAAAAGGATGTCCATGTGTTCTGAAAATTCTCTTCATGCTCTCCCACAAACTGTAGAGCTGAAACTGAAGCAACACTTTGCTAATTTCTGCCAAACAATAAAACCAAAAAAACACATTCAGATTCATCTTCAGTAAGAGGCTGCATTTACTCACAAGAACCATAACAAAAGTGTTTCGAGATCAGAGAGGCTAAGGACAATTACAGGAGGAAGCTGGAGTGGAAGCTCCAGCAGAACAGCATGAGAAAGGTGTGGAGGGGCATGAAGACCATCACTGGATTCAGGCCAACCAACAGCAGGGGAGCTGAGGGAGGTGAGAATAGAGCTAACGAGTTGAATCTGTTTTTCAATATATTCGACACCACAGTGTCTGCTCCCACCCCCACAACCTCACCTGTAGTCAGCCTGGAATCCAGAGCCACACCACTGTGCCAGCCTCTCTCTTCACATGGCGCTGTTGCCTCCTGGGAGATTCCTGACACCCCTCCCCCACCCATCACCTTCACTCAATACCAGGTTGAGATGCAAATGAGGAGACTTCACTCAGGCAAGTCTGCTGGACCAGATGGAGTGAGTCCCCTCGTCCTCAAGACCTGTGCCCCCCAGCTGTGTGGACTCTTTCATAAACTGTTCATGCTGAGTCTGAATCTGCAGAGGGTACCAGTGATGTGGAAGACATCATGTCTCGTCCCAGTGGCCCCCAGGATTACAGGCCCGTGGCACTGACCTCCCACATCATGAAGACCCTGGAAAGGCTCATCCTGGACCAGCTGTGACCCATAGTAAGACCACATCTGGATCCCCTTCAATTTGCTTATCAGCCTCGTCTTGGAACTGAGGATGCCATCATCTACCTGCTCAATCGTGTCTACACCCATCTGGACCAGCCGGCGAGCACTGTGAGGGTCATGTTTTTTGACTTTTCCAGTGCTTTCAACACCATCAGTCCGACCCTCCTGGGTGATAAGTTAGCAGCGATGCAGGTGGATGCTTCTCTGGTGTAATGGATTGTTGATTACCTGACAGGAAGACCACAATATGTACGTCTCCCACAGTGTGTGTCTGACAAGGTGATCAGCAACACAGGGGCACCACAGGGGACTGTCCTCTCCCCCTTCCTCTTCACCCTCTACACCACAGACTTCAGCCACTGCACAGAGACCTGCCATCTTCAGAAGTTTTCTGATGACTCTGCGGTGGTTGGATGCATCAGCAGGGATGATGAGACAGAGTACCGGGCTGTGGTCGACTCCTTTGTCACGTGGTGTGAGCAGAATCATCTGCAGCTCAACGTGGCAAAGACCAAGGAACTGATCGTGGACTTCAGGAAGACCAGGAAACACTTGACCCCTGTTTCAATCCAGGGGGTCAGTGTTGACATTGTGGAGGACTATAAATACCTTGGAGTACACATTGACAATAAACTGGACTGGGCTAAAAACACCACAGCACTTTACAGGAAGGGCCAGAGTCGTCTCTATTTTTTGAGGCGACTGAGGTCCTTCAACATCTGCCAGAAAATGCTGAGGATTTTCTATGAGTCTGTTGTGGCCAGTGCGATCCTCTATGCTGTTGCATGCTGGGGGAGCAGGCTGGTCAATAAACCGATTCGTAAGGCCAGTAATGTTGTGGGGATGGAGCTGGACTCCCTCAAGGTGGTGTGGGAGAGGCAGATGTTGTCCAAAATAAAGACAATGTTGGATAACACCTCCCACCCACTCCATGACGTGCTGGTCAGTCACAGGAGCACGTTCAGTGAGAGACTGAGATTACCCAAAAGCACCACTGAATGACACAGGAAATCATTCCTGCCTGTGGCTCCCTGTACAACACATCCACTTAACACACTGTTTACTGCAACAGCTACACCCTTCTTGCACATGTTCTTTTTCAGCTATTTATTATTAAGTGACTTTTATGTATATATATGCCTGTATATATTGTGCTATTCTTAGTTAGTGTATTGTCTATCTTTGTTAATGTTTGTTTACAATGGAGCACTGTAACAAAAAAAATTTCCCTTAGAGATCAATAAAGTATTCTGATTCTGATTCATTCAGTGTTTGAGCAGCTCTTCTATTGAAATGACTGCAGAAAGACAATAATGTCATTATAGCAGGGAAGTCCAGCTGCGATAGGTTTGAAACATCAAAGAAACAGAAACAGGAAGCAGACGCTGACCTGAGGCGTGAAGCCTGGTGCAGTGAAACACTGCAGATAAAGATTATTAATCTGAAGCTTTAATGTGGCTTTGTTTTCAGATTTTTTTAGCTTGTCGACTTTAAACTGTGTGTGTGTGTGTGTGTGTGTGTGTGTGTGTGTGGGTCTGTGTTTGTGTCTGTGTGTGCGTGGGTCTGTGTAGACAGGACTTCACCTGCTCAGTGATTCAGGGTTAGTTTTAGTGTTCGTCTCAGTCAATGCTGAGATTCGTAAATATGACTCAGAGTCAGACAGGTGTTATTTTCAGGTGTGATCAATTCCATATTTATCCATCAAGAAATCTGTGTAGAAGAAGGAGCTTCTTGCCCGCTTATTAGACACACTGATGCACGGAGATCTCAGCTGATGTTAGTTAGCTGCGGGAAACAGTACCTACTGCCTGGTCAGACTGAAAGACAGATGGACAGGCAGAGTCACAGACAGGTTGGTGGACAGACAGGCAGACCGATACACAGACAGACTAACAGAGGGACGGACATCCCAATCGGACCAGGAGTGACTGTTTGTTGTTCTTATCTAACATCCACCTGGGCCTCACTGAATTTTTATCTGACTTAGTGCTCAGCTCAAATAAAATAATGATTGTGGTTGAGTTTAACATCCGTGTAGGTACTAAAAATGACAGCCTCAACACTGGATTTAATCTATCATTAGATCCAGTTGGCTTCTTTTTCATTGTGAACATGTGTACGGTGTGCTTCCTTATTTCCACAACTTCTCCAACATGGGAGATTACCTTGAACCTGCTTATTTGTAATTTCTAGTGTAATGAAAGATATGTCCACTCAAATTCTGCTGAGCATCTTGAGTTGGTTGTTGTGTTCTGGTTTTCACACATAGCTGCCCATTCTTCAGTTGAAATAGTAGTTTTTTTTATCTTCCTCTCCCATTAATTTTTTTTATATATTTAGTTGATGTTGTTGTGTTTTCTATTAGGGATTTATATAGAACAGAGATTTCCTTGACTTGTAGTCTCATATACATAAATGTAATCCCCTATAACCCCGGTACTGGGAGCACTGGGGCTCAAGAGATTAAGCATGCAAGCCACAAAATGTAAGTGAAATTTGTATTTCTTTTCAAATGAGGGACTATCAAGACCATCCTGAGCAGCTGCATCACTGCCTGCTATGGAAAATGCAGGGCATCGGATCACAATATCCAACAACGGATAGTGAGAGCAGCTGAGAAGATCATTGGAGCCTTTCTTCCCTCCATCACAGACACTTATAGCACCTGCTCCATCTGCAAAGCCACCAGCATTGTGCACGACCCCACACACCCCTCACACACACTCTTCACCCTGCTGCCTTCTGGAAAGAGGTACTGGAGCATCTGGGCCCTCACTGCCAGACTGAGGAACAATTTCTTCCCCCAGGCCGTCAGACTCCTGAACACTCAGCGACTAGACTGACACACACGCACAACTTCATACACGTCACTACCAACCACTCGTCTGCAGTATCTCACACTCGCGCTCGCGCGCACACACACACACACCAAGTTACTTTTGCACAGTACTCAGCATTTTGCACATTTCCATTGCACTGTCTTGTGTCTGTATCGTTGTGGCAGGGGTGGTGTGGTCTCTGGCCTGCTGCAGTGGGGAGGCGGTACAGTGAGCTCACAGAGCGGCGCCGAGGTGTGAGCGCTCAATGTAATGATCTTCTTTGTCTCTGTGAGTATACAGTGATGGTGGAGACGGAGGAGTGGGTGTGGAATAGAGCAGCTGTCCCTGAGTGACTGGTGCCGAGAACCGTCAAAACAGTTGCTAAAACAAATAAAAGTGACGTACACGTGCATGAAATCCTGTGTGTGTGTTGGGACCTTATCACAGTTGTCCTGTCCTGTCTTGTTTACTTTTGCAATTTTTTGCACATTTTTATGTTTGTCTGTCAGATGTAGCACCAGGGTCTCAGAGGAACGCTGTCTCACTCCACTCTGTACTGTACCGCTGTACATGTACAATTTTAATAATTGTACTGTACTCTGTTTTTGGTAACTATTGTCCTTGATGTAAATATGTAAAAAAAATTGTGTATGTTTCTGTTCTGTGTCCTGTGTGCTGTTTGTTTGTATATGTGTTTTTCTTGCTGCTGTTACAACCAAATTTCCCCTTGTGGGACAATTAATTAAAGGATTATTCTATTCTATTCTATTCTATTCTATTCTATGGTTCGAATGACAATAAAAGCCACTTGACTTGGCTAGCTATTTATCAATGTTTTCTTTGCTACATAATTCCATAAATCTTGTTTCATATATGTCTCCAGTTTGTATCTATAATGTAGAAAGTAGTGAAAATAAAGAAAAAACATGACAAAGTGTGTGCAAACGTTCAGCTGGTAGTGTACTATAGTATGAGTTTCTGAGCCCAGATTTCCTCCTATGACAGATGTGTTTCTTGTATATTAAACTTCCTCTCTTTAAGTATCAGATTACTTCTCTTATTTGATTATTCATCCCATTGACATTCACTGACACCAGAGTTACATTCCTCACCTTTTTATTCAATTTTCAATTCAATTCAATTCAACTTTATTCATATAGTGCCAAATCACAACAACAGTCGCCTCAAGGCACTTTATAATGTATAATATAATACATACAGAGAAAAACCCAACAATCATATGACCCCCTATGAGCAAGCACTTTGGCGACAGTGTGAAGGAAAAAGTTTTGTTCTGTTTTGGCTTATCACAATCATAGCAATCCACAATAACTCTAAGAACTTGGAAGAAGATGACAAGAAACTGAAAATATATATTTGTGACCTACAGTGTCCCTGTGGTTTGAGAGGTATGACCCTTTACAAATAGGGGCGAGGGGTGAGATCCAGTCACCCGGCCATGTATTTTCCAATCCATTATGACTTTGAAGAAACTATGGTAATGAACATCCAGTCTCTGATTTTCACTGTGCACTTCAGTTTCCATTGGGTTCAGCTGTTTGCCACCTCACTTATAAGTTCTTGGTGTTCCTTCGCTGTGGAGGTCCCTGCTTTGCTGCAGCGTCTCCAGCCAAATTCTACTCCTCCTTAGCTCCTCGGCTGCCGCCACGATCGTATGTCCTGGCGCCCCCCAAACTCTGCTTCAGGTCCCAAAGTCAAACGAACACTGCGGCATCACTTAGAGTTACAAACTGTCTAAATTCTTTCATGGTGTAACAATTGCACCTTGCAACAATTACAAGGAAAAGCACCTTCTGAGTAACAAAGTTTCACAGAGGAAGCAGTGCTTTAGAAAATTAAATAAAGTCAATTTGAAAAATTCTGACAGGGCTTTCCCACTGATTCTTTCAGCTCCTCACACTTGTCTCCAGGCTTGAGCCAAAGCTGTGCCAGCCCCTGGATGATGACATATTCCTGTCTCCTGGCTGGGATGTTGGTGGATAAACATGGACTCACACACACAGACACACTTACAGACACAGACACACACACAGACACAGACACACATACACGGACACAGACACAC